CTGAAAGTTGATCATTCATCAATTGTTCCCTATTTAAATGCAGTGGGAAAAATCCAGAAGTATGGAAAGTGGTACATAAATTATCCGAATGCGCATCGATAGGTCTGTCTTTCATTGCTTATTAAGCAAAAAAAGAAAAGTTTTTTGTGGTGTATTGTAATTGGAGATGAACAATGGATATTTTTCGATTGTTCTGAAAGGCAAAAACATTGGGTGGAGCCCGGCTAATCAATATCATCAACGCCATGACGCAATATCCACGGTCATAAGGTTCTGTGTACCTGGTGAGATCAAGAAGGTATAAAGGCCGCAGCACACATTTTGCATAATGCATAACGCATAGTGCATAAGCGAATCAACTAATCAGAATCTTTTCTTTCCTCTCATTCATTGGAAAAGAAGAATTTTGATTGGTTGATTCCTTTATGCACTATGCATTATGCGTTATGCAAGAGCGTGTGCTGCGGCCAAAACTCTTCTATGAGTTGCCACCGGAGCAAACCATTACGGGAGACTACTACAGCAAGCAACTAAGGCAACTGGATAGAGAGTTAATTTAAAAAATGACTTAACAATAATAAAGGGCAAAGTAAGAGTCAACAATCAAATGAAAATAAAAATAAATTCAAATAAAACGTCTAGTTTCAAATATAAAACATATAATGAAATGTTTAAAAAACGACCGCAAATAGTTTAGCAACCGTCGTAAGTTCATCCTCATGTTGCTAAGAAAATCAAGAAAGCATTGTTAAAGTTGGAATGAGAAGTTTTTCCGCATTTAGCTTACTTTTACTTCAGCTGGCATTGCCCCTTCAGATTATCATTCGTTCAGATCAATGCAGCACGACTTATTTGATGAGCGCTTCTCAAATGTCGAGGACGTACGAAAATGAGTCGATCAATGAATCGCCTCAAAAAATAATTCCTTTTTTCGACGTGGTATTCGCATGTTGCCAGAAAGATGGGAAAAAATCGTAGAAAAAAATGGAAAATACTTCGATTAATATATAATGTATCAATATTTTTATTGTAATAAGAAAATATTGCAAAAAAAATCGGAAAGAACTTTTGTATCGGCTTAATAAAAAAAATCCCTACGAAATTTTCATGGAGCTTTTTAGTTTGGGACGTGATTTGGGACGATTTGAGCTGTTATCTCGACAATAAAGGACAATTTCAAAATGGCTTCTTAATTAGACTCTAAAATCAGTTTTTTAAGTTAATTCACGTCTGTAACATGTCTAAACGTACAACATAAATTCACGTGATTTATATAATAATTTTGTGAAGAGCAGAAAAAACAAATCTATGATATATTACTCGAGAAATTTAAAATTATGTAAATAAAATGTGTTTTATCGTTTGCGTTACATAAATATTAAAAAGTGATAATTATATACATTAGTACAATTTTGTGAGCATAAATCGGAATGACTAATGCCCGTTTCCACCAATGCAGTTTAACTTTAATCTTGGTTCAACTTACTCTTCGTCTTTTTCTAGTTTAAAAGATCAAAAAAAGACGAAGAGTAAGTTAAACCAAGAAAATTAATCTACGTTGGTGGAAATAGTCATAAAGTAAACTGTTGAACCATTGTCTATGTAATGTATGTATATATATATATATATATATAGACGATAAATTAACGAATTATGTTAATTAATTATAATTGTATTAATTTATTCTAACACGATTTTTCGCAAGAAAATTATTTAGTTTTTAAGATACTTAATTAGCATCAGATTATTATCGTTCTAAATTAATGAGATATATTTCATAGAAATGAAATATATTTCACAGAAATAAGATATATTTCACAGAAATGTATATTTCATCGCAATCAAATTTCTTAATTCTTAACATTTGTTTCGCAATACTTCGACATTTTTCTCTCAGTATAGTAGGGTGATAAATCAATGTTTATTTACATATTCAAAACTGTTTAAGATTTATCCAAAATGTGTTTAGTGCCTATTCGAGTCCATACAACAGATGTAATTGTGTATCAAGTCCTTTATTATAATCTTCAAACGTTTCGATCCTTGGTTCGGATCCTTTTTTCAATATAAATTAACTACTATCTACATCACTGAATTCTCTAGATAAGATTTACATATTCAACACTTTTCTTGATATGTTAGTTTTTTAAAATCCTTACATTTAATTAAAAACAATTTCGTCTGAAAGTCATTTCATTCCTACACAGAAATTTGTAATATATACAAGAAGAAAAAAATTATAATTTTTCTAAAAAGGTTTTTAATATTTATTACAAGAACTTTCGTCTTGTGATATCTATTACAAGATCGCATCTTTTTTCATTCACTTGTTTTAATCATTCATTGTTGGTAATTTAACAAGTATTAGAAAATATGATAAAAATACATACATACATACAGGGTGAAAAATTTCAAACGTAATGAGCCGAATATCTCGGAAAATATGAAAGTTATGGAAAAATATTTCAGATAAAAAGTTGCTTGGTTTAGAGGGAGCCACATTTTGGTCATATTGTCTTTCTTCTAAGTGGTGGCGCCAAAAAGATATAAAAGTCGCTTCCACTTTTTAAAATTTAATTGTATAATTTTTTTATCCAATGTGATTGGTTTAATTATTCTGCATATAAAAGTATTAAGAATTTGAAAAACAGAAAAAGACAAAGTTATGATAAAAAAATAATAGCAAAATAAATAGCAACAAAAAAACAAAAACCAACAATTTGTATAATTAAGTTCATTTCCACTTGATGAGATATGTGTTTTAAAATAATCACGTTTCATATTAAAATCTAAAGTTATCAATTTTTCTATTTCCACATTTTACTTAGTAAAAGAGCAGATAATTCAAAAGACAGAATATACTACAATATTAGAAGTTATTTCTATTTATAATTCTATTTTAGACTTTCTACCCAATTAGCAGACACGTTAAGAAATAATATCATCGATGACTATTGAAATGCAATCGTTTGTTCAAATGTAAAAGATCTGTGTTTTTTTTTATAGTCGGATCAAGATAAATTAAAATATATATAAAATAAGCATTGGAATAATATACTCGGTTACCGGAAGCGTAGGTATTTGTTGTAGCATTATTTTAATCATTGTTTTTTAAATTAAATGCTTTTTAAATTAAGTGCCCCGAGAAAGCTTACTTTCTCTAGAATCACTTTTACCATTAGAAAAAGTAAAATAAAATTTTATTAAGTAACTTGAAATGAAATATTCTTGAGAAATTTTTTCGACCCGCGATAATTTCCTCCCAAAACAATAATAAAATCTGGATTAAAACGATAGTCAAATTCCAACGTGTCCATCGAAGAAAGTGCCCGAGATAACTAATCATCACGCTTAACGAGACCTTTGTGGCATCATCCAAAGGCAAGCATCCTGTTTAGCACCATAGATGAGTGATACAGATCACATTGTGAGTGACGACGATACGAATTGCAGTTGCTCTAATCAAAATCGACATTGATATCGACAAGGAAATGTCGTGTCGTGACAGACATATACGCTATTGAGATAATCGATTATTCGGCATGCAGTCTCGTGTGTCTTGTCACGCAATGTATCACGTGGAAGCGATTACGAAAATAAAATCACACAGACGATTCACACGGACAAGTCGTGATCCAGTCTATTCCAAAAATTATTATCTATGAATGTTGTACGATAAATAAAAATGTTAAATATATAACACTCTGATATATAAAAGGACAAGGGTGCTCTATAGAAGAACGATAGTTTCTGTATAGAGAAGCAATGTTTTATAAACACAATTTATTCTAAAGTCCCAAACACAATGTGAGGTAACAGCGATAAGAATATAGCAATAAGAATGTTAACAGAAACAAGCGATATATAATTGTCGTTTCCCGTTGCACAATGCCGCGAAAGAAATAAAAAATGCCAACCAATCTGATTTCGTATACAGGGTGTCCCGTGAGTTTTGGCCAATTGCTTTTGTGTAGATAGAGCGGACTAAACTGAGTCGAAAAGTCCTCTACCATTTTACAATTTTTGCAATGGTTAACGAGATATTAATTACTAAAAGTCGCTAAATATCGTTCTTCAATAATTTTTTACTCAAATATCAATTTCACAGAAAATCTGCAAGAGACAAAAATTATTAATTTTTTTCTCATAGAACTCTAAAGCCCTAAACACAATACGAAGGCAACAGCGGTAGCGAAATAAATAACGATAGCAATAGTTATTTCTATCGCTATCGCTGTTGTCTCGTATTGTGTTTAGGGCTTTACGCTATCCGTTTTATAGAACAACAATATGTTTTTTGTGCAACGTTTTTTTTTTAAAAAGTTTGTTTTATAGATGTATGTATTTGTAGATTGACATATGTATCGGTTGTTTGTTATTTCAAAAAATGCAATCAAAAATGGCGTAATAGTCTGGTGACTGTTTGACCTGTGACATAAAGGCAACGATCATGTGTTCGCGTACGATGTAATTCGTCAGATAGATATGTTTCGTGAGAGTGTGGCGTACGCGAAATGAGCAATCTCATCGATCCGATTTCATTAGATGGAAAATTTATCGTTTATATATCACATATAATATTTAATTGATATTAAGTACCAATAATAAAAGTAATAATAGTAAAATAATTTCAAAGAAAGAAGCTATAAAGAATCAAATTTTTAATACAAGTTATTATTTATATTATATCTATTCTTAACAGATAACTTTATTGCTTCCTATATATAATAGATCAAACAAAAGCGATATCGCTTTTAGTATACATTTTATACTAAAATATTAATTTTAATTAATTTTAACATTTTAGATAGCAAAAAATCTGCAAGTTATATTAGCACGATTAGAAACAAATAAAAATAGCATATTGAAATTTCTTATTTATTTATCTCTGTCTCAGTGACTTTTTATTATGGTTGTTTATTATGGATCTTTAAGGTCATCGATGATGTATCGTATAGAAAGTGGATTCTTCACATGGGAAAGCTTCACCTTACCCTTTACTATTTTCCTCCTTTTTTCTTTTTCTGGGACTCGTTTGCTTCATTTAATTTTTCTATTTCTAATTCCAAAGCTTTTTGCTTTCGTCGACATGTAGGCGTTTTCGAAAACCAGACTGTAATGTATTAAAGTTCAAGTTTAACCCTGCTAAAAGTTCGGTACCTGCCATACGCTATTACGCATTATCACAAACCTAAAAACGCATCTTCTTCTTCGCGATACACTGGATCCTTGAAACTTAATGAATTCACCAATTCCACATGAGTCAAAGGATGAGTTCGTAATTGTACCATTCGCTTCGTAGTCATTACCTGCATTATGATAGAATAATAAAAGAACGTTAAATTAAAAATAATACTGTAAGTACTGACAGGGTTGCCACGGACCTGGAAAACCGGGAAAAGTCAGGAGATTGAAATTAGTCATGGAAGCCGGGAAAAGTTAGGAGAAAATGTAAAAAAGTCTGGAATTTCAAAATTTGCACTCACAATTTCTTTAAACTGCTCCTATTCCAAATAATTGTTATAATTTTTTAAATATTATATCTGACGTTTATAGTTCAAAACTTGCACACTTTAAACGATTTTAACAAAACAATTCAAATTTATCTTTTATTCAGTATTTTTATTTAATCCCTCTTTTTTGTCGTAACACACACATTGCATTCTTTTTTCAAAACTAATTTATTTTTTACTGGCTTGAATTTGCACCCAAAATTTTACTATGCTACTAAGCTTTTTTGCGTTTTTAATAATATAGCTTTCCTACAATCCTTGAGTCTAAATGTTAAAATTTATATATTTTATTACAGTTTTTTAAGATTGAATTTGGGAAATTTGGGAGATTATTAATATTTTAGATTGATTGCGTTGAAAGTCCGACAACCATATCGGCACGTAATTATAATTTCTGAAATTAATTCATTTAAATGAATATATATAATAGTTCAACATTTTAACATTCAGACTGTAGTGGCGCTTCATATTTAAAGTAATGTTTACTAACTCTAACATAAACGGTTTTATCTTCAATCTTATTATTACATATTCATTTTATGTTAATCGTGGAAAATTTTTCATTTTCATCTGGAAAATTTTCCATTTTTATCTGGAAAATTTGGAAGTCAGGGAATTTTAAAATTCATTTTCTGTGGCAACCCCGACTGATAACATTGACATTTGTAATGTAAATTATCGACCTCATTGATTGTTGCTAAAATAGTTCCTATCGTGAAACCGTCGCACGCTTTGGCCATAGCTGACGTATCAAATTGTCGGCTAATACCCGAATACTAAAAATTAAAATTTTTACATGTAAAAATAAATTATTAACTATGTCAATATAAACTCATTTGGTGAAATGATAATTGTTTAGCATAAACAATTAAGAGATTGGACGATTATTATTAAATGAATCAATAGATGAATAAATTAAAGATTATAACGATTCTTTAAACAGCAATTCATTAAGTATGAATTCGAACACACTTTGTACAACTCACTTTATATAATAAATCTTTCCATATAAAAGACACAGTGCCATAATCTGGTCTAGGAATATAAATAACTTTATCATAAGTTTGATATAAGAGTTTTGGATCACCGTCCCAAGGCTTATTAGATGTTCCAATAAACAAAACTCTGTCTTCACTCGTGATGTTCTTCACTAATTTTGGTAAATCTTTTCTCAAACGTTTCGGATCGGTTTTATCAGTTTTTGCTACTTTTTTTATAAACGGCTTTTCCGCGTTGTCCATGAAGATCACTGATGGCTGTAGTAATCGCGATACCTTCGAAAGTATAGAGACTTACTTAGTATTCACAATATTATTCAACTCATCGATAAAATTGATTGCTTATCACGATCAAACTTATTATGAGTATACTTTAACTCTTTCTGAGAACCGAATATCAACTGCATTGAAACTGAAATACGTAATCGTAAGTAATTTTATCATTTACAAGAAAATGTACTCAAGTTCCTTCCTTTCTTCTCCTGACTTTGATCTCCTGAGTTTTGGTATAAATATTACAATTCTATAAATATAAGATAATTTTCGAAAACTAAATAATTGTATACATATACATATACCTATTGATAAGATTTGTATCATAAAAGCTAAAGTACGAAACATTACAAACCTTCGAAATCAGATGAACGAGCATAATCAAACCCGACTTGCCAGGATATTTGCCAGCGATATTCGCCGGTGTAATATCGAAGAGTGTAGCTCCAAGTTCCGTGCAGATCGCGTCCACCAAGAGTTTTTTGCCACTGCCGTGCGGACCGGCTATCAAAACTGACCTCACGAGAGGTGTGAGTTCTCTCAAGATTTGATTGCCCAGCGGAAGTATACAGTATTCGGCGATCAATTGCCTAATGTCTCCTGACGTTATTTAATTAATTATTATAAACTGCTTTAATTAAACTGTGTGATTCGAAAATACTTTGGCAAATTTTTGGCAAATTTTAGAAAGAATATTTTTAAGCATAAATATTGAGAGAGAGAGAGATGTTTATTTGTTGCAGCAATATATCGAAAATACAAATTAATTTAAATGAAATAAATTTAAGTGTTATGTATTTAAATACCGAGTGTCGGAAGAGGATCTTTCTCCTTCATACGAAGATCGTGGTTCGCAAAAGACTTTTCACCCTTAAACTCATTTAGCGAAACCTCACGGTGAAGCTTAATAATTCCTTGTATGAGAAGTTCCTCGAAAAGGGACTCGGTCGTTCTGTCGGGTGTCAGATCTTTCTCTTTTTTCCTCTTATTTTTTTTTCCACTCCTGCGAATTCGCTTCTGAGGTTTTTTCGCGCGTTTTCCTTTGAGACCTTTGTCTCTATCTAACGCAAGTTGAAGCGCCTCTATATCACCTAATTGTAATATCATATCGCGTTATTAACAATCGTATCAATGTCGAAAAATTTGTCGTGTTATATAATCTGGATAAACCCAGCCAGCACATAATATTCTTGCACTACTCTATAAATCTTCCTACGCGAATAATTTTAAATAAATATTCTATCATATAAGAATATGAATCTTCTCTGTAATTCAACTGTGAATATTCTTAATTGGATAATATTGTATACGTTTTATGAAATATTTATCGAATGTGACTTTTCGAATATTCGAAAGCCTTGTATACTGGAATATTCAAAAAATAATGATTACCACTAAATGACGTGATATCGAAACACGAACAAACGCGAACGACAAACGGGCACTGGATGGGGATGCACGGATCACGAGAGATTCAGTTTGCTTAATCGAGTAGCAAAAGGTATTAAAAATTTGGTATAATTGTCAAAGTAATAATAATAAAGAAGCAATACATATAATTTGTGTATAAGTAAATAAAATGACAATGAATATATATTACACATATATAGATTACGTTGTATAATTTGTTTACAAGTATTTTTTTCGATAACAATGCCAAAGGCAAGATGAACAGTTATTTCTATCGAACTGTAAGAAAGGAAGTAAATTCTGTATTACAACGTTTAAATAATGATAATACTGATGCTTCTAGTTCAGTTTCAAACAATGTTGAATGTGTCGAACATATTAATATTGATAATGCACATGCATCTAATTAATATTCCTTGTAATAATCAAAATATGCATAGAATATTCTATATATGCTATGAGAATAATCTTGTGAGGAATGTTATTAGAATATTTAGGATAGTGTACTTTTGAAAACATAAGAATATTCTTAGAATATCTATCTTCTTAAAAGAAGCTTCTACGAATATTCAAATCTTCCTAGTGGAGAATCGGAAAATATTCCACGAACAAATATTCCACGAACAAATATGTGCTGGCTGGGGATATAATTGCTCAAAAATGTAAATTCATGTGCGAATTACTCTGATATCATCTGTTGCGAATTATTTTGATATCGCATCTGTGTATAGAAGAATAATAATTTGTTACACACTGACTTCCGATGTTGGCTCCTTTAAAGGGATTCTTTACGTTTTTCATTTATTCATTAAAGCATAAATTGATTTTTAAATGATTATAATCTCTTAATATATAGAGAGTACAGCATCTTTTTTTGTGTAATCTAATTTTTTGTAATTTTTTACAATAATTTTCAGCCAGTGTAGGATACGTGATCGTTACATCGGATATTGTAGAAATTTATATACAAAATAATACCGCATATAATATGTATAATTCTCTCTTTTCGACAAAAGAAAAGAGTATTTTAAATTTAAAAAAAAATTGAATAAAAAACTTATTTTGTATTGCTGTCAGCTTTGATCTTGATTATTCTTTTTTGAGAAATATAGTACATCTACCTCTCATCGTTTGATCCACTACTAGTCTGACTTCGTCCTCGATTTCTCTTGTTTTCTCCGCTTCTATCATATTACGATAAGGCAACTGCATCGGGTTTGCGGATTCGTCTTTGTCTTTCCATACATCTTGATACTCTTGATTCGCATGAATCAATTCCGGCAGAAAGTTAGAGGGGACAGATTTGAATCCTAGATCTGTCTCGTCTTCTGACTGCTCCGTTTCGCTATCTTTCTTCGATTTTGAGCGTTTCGATTTCTTTGATTCCTTCGACGATACTGCCGTGGACTTACTCACAGTACTCTCAGTTCCCTATAACAAGAAAAATAAGAATAAGAAGCGCAATTAAACGCTATAGCAAAATTGCTTGAAGTCGGCCGTCAATCTTTGTAGATACTAATTTAAACGTTTAATTATAAAAATAAGACATTTTAATGCTAATTAATCGATTTGATAACCATTTTATTACGTTTTCTTGCAATACTAATGTAATTTAAACATTTATAAAAATGAATTTTTGTACATACTGCAGGTATTTTTAATAATTCTTATCTTCTATATTTTCTTCGTTTTATACATATTTACGAGTTTCAGATGTGTGTACACATCGATACTTTACTTGTCTGCTGAAAATCATTCGCGAACCTCCGCTTTCAGCGGATGGTAAATCAGGTATCTTTCCAGTTTGTTGAAAATAAGTGTCAATCCAATTTCGAACTTCACTCCGTATCTTTTCTTCCATAATAGCGCTTTTCTCCTTGCGAATTCTCTCCGTGGCTTCTAAAATTAAAGCCTCGTATTGCTGTTGAAAATTCATCTGCTTTTCGTATCTCTGCTGTTTCAGTTTTTCCGCTTGCTTGGCGATCTCTGTGATTACTTGACTAGGCTGCAGCATCCCTTTGAGATAATTAATACGTTATAATCGTATAGGATATAATTAACATGTTGATACGTATCGGACGAGACGAGAACGGCAAATGTTCTCGTTTCTTTATCGAAACGATATTATAAATTTAGTATTTTATTTACTTTTTTTTTTCTTTGTCTTTTCGATCAGAGACAGACTATATAGGAAGATTTATTATATGATTGGATTATTTTTACCTATAAGTAACATTTCCTCAAGACGTCTCTTGCGAATGTAACATCTAGTGATATATCCTTTCCATACTTTTTGAATTTTTAATGCCGCAAGTCTCTCGCTCGTTTCATCTTTTTCTTCCTCTTCTAGCTTTGTAGTCGATCTTTCCTTCATTTCGCGAACTTCTTTCATAAATTGATACCGCAGTCTACCTTGTCTCGCTCGTTCATGAGCCTGAAGAATTAAAGTTTACAGACTTGAAAAGGATGTAAACTAGGCTATAGATACGGATGTCGTTTTTTTATATAAAATGTCTAATATACGTCTAATATATTATATTATACATATACGAAGACTAGAATACGTCGTGCAGTAGAAGACACGACAACTTCACATATGGCGGAGTTTAAATTAATTTTTATTTATAGTAAATATTCATTCTATAATATTTATTAAATGAGAAAAATACAAAAAAGAAGATATTTCCAAGATGTAAATAATATACAAGGTGATAAATTTTAAATGTAATGGGCCAAATATCTCGGAAAATACGAAAGATGCGGAAAAATGTTTCAAATAAAAGTTAAATGGTTTAGAGGGAGCCACATTTTGGTCATGTTGTCACCTCTTCTAGGTGGAAGCGACCTTAATATTTTTTCGGCGCCTCTATCTAGAAGAAAGACAACATTTTATCTGAAACATTTTTCCGTATCTTTCATATTTTTCGAGATATTCGGCTCATTGCGTTTGAATTTTTTCGCCCTGTATATATATATATAAATATGCGTGTGTATATCATCCATTTTTAATTTACATGAAGATATGAAGAATACTAGTCTGGAAAAGGCTTGCTGGGCAAAGATCGAGCTTCGTCAAGTTATTAGAATGGCCGATCGTAAATGTGTAACGAATGTGTTAAAATGAATTCGATCCATCCGTTAGATATTTAGTTATTTAGTTGGCTGTCTCAGATCAGTTACGATTCAGTTTTTTAGAAACGCCATCACTGTAAAACAGGAGTTTTATACTGTTAGTCGAATCTTTCTTATGACTCGCCTGATACCTGAATAAGTCGTATAGCCTGGGACTCGGTAATTTTTCTGGGCACAACAATCTCATGAAGCGCACCCAGATTTCGGAGGATATCTTCGATGAATCTGCGTCTCCCTTCGATTTCAACGATTCGATCGCGTCTGTAGTAACTCGGTACCCGAATTTCGGCCTCCTGCGGCGTCACCCTACACTCAATCAATACGTCATCGTAATAGCTGTGCTCCGAAAAATCGATATTGACCAATTCGTGCTTCAACTCCAACACTCTACCCAGAGTCGCATCCAATGATTTCTTGATCAGCAAACGCTTCTGGGGCTGTATCACTTGATCATAGCACTGCTCGAGTTTGTTACACGCGAGGATATATTTCACGTATAACGCTGAAACGACATCGTGTGCCTTTTTACGGTCCTTTTGAGGTTTCGCACCCTGAAGCACCGTATCCGCTTGGATCGCCTCTGTGAGCGACGTTTGGGCCACTCTCCAAAGCTCGTCGTACGTCACGCTCGACATTCTTCCTCAGTTTTCTACTTTTCTCAGAAGAAGAATCGAACGCACTCGACAAATTTTTATAGCTACGGACAATCGATTGTTGGTTACCTAGCAACGGAATTATCGACTAGGAATCACGTTTATCGCGTAGCGACTGTGGTGATCAAGCAAAAGAAATTATTCTATCGGAATCAAATTAATTTACACATTTACAATATATTCTTCATCTTTTTTTCTTTTTTCCTTTCTTTGATTGATGAGTTATTAGAGTATAAATGAAAATTGAAGGAAAAGCAGATAGAGAACTAACGATTATAGTGAAATATAGAGAATAGTGAAATAGACACGAGTTTTTAAGCGGATCTCTCCATTAATGAAGTTTAATTTTTAACGAGAAAGAAATTAAGTCTGATCGTGACGATAAAAAGTTGATGCTAATTTAATCACTTTTCCGCTCGCTGTTCGCATTTTTAGTATGGACGATTAAGTATATGTTTAAAAGAAATCGAATGCACATATCAATGTTTCTTTATTTACAAGTATCTATTCGAAAATTATCTGAGCGTACGAAGACTCTCGAAAATAAAATCAAATGCTTTTAAAATAAATTCGATCGAACAAAATAGCAGAATTAATTGCGCACTATGTATAATATGATCAAGAATTGCCGCCACATTGAATATACAAGGTTTTTCCCGCAAATGCTTTTTTGTTGGATAGAAAAAGAATCGACTTTTGAAACTTTATACGTTATTTTGACATGAAATTAGTATTGTAAGAAAATTGCTAATCCTCGATCACTCTGCCTTTGTTTTTGAATGTGAATAATCGAAAATAATATGTATTCCGTTGCTTCGCGGGAGACAGCAGATTTAATCTGCAAGATGAACAGACGATCGGCCAATCGGTTTTTTTTGTTTGACGAAATTATAGCGACCTTACTCAAGTATAATAATTGCAGTAGCGATCATGATCTTCGATAAATAGCAGGAGCGATTTAAGTATTTTAAATAGAAAAAACTTTTTATGACGCGCTCTAAGGTAATGATATACTTACTATCTACGTGTACCTATATTTAGACTTGTTTTTTTTATTTAAAATTTGTACGCTTCATTTTTTCTTTTCTCCTTTAATCACTAATGTGAAGAGAAATAAAAAAAGATGAATCATGCAAAAAATGCAACTAAAACAATTTTTTATTATTATTATACGTTTATTTCCGATTCGACATCGATTCCATTGTCATTTCTTACTGGATTCATCAGGATATCTATCACGAAACATGTCGAAATGAATACCGATTGGAATTATTCCGTTCTGCCTAAAAAAACATAATCTAGAGAATAATTGAATATAATATCCCGATAGGAATCCATTTCGAATAATTAATAGGTTCTGATGTATATATCGTTATAGTTTCGCCGATTCTGCGCGTTTTTGTTGCGCAAAATCATTATTAAGATTAATCCAGAACATCCGGAATAATCTCTGCCTGCCGAAAGTATTACATATTAATAAAAAGTATCGATCAATATTGATTAGTATTAGTGTGATATCGGTATACATATGTATATCGATGGTCTCATAGCTCTAAGCTTTCATTGCTAGTACATGTAGGGATTATCGTGATAAATCGCAGTACACTTTTAGGCTCTAACGTCGTTTACAGAGTTAAGAAAAATTTGATTTCGATCCACCCTGTCGGTTTGATTTGCATCAAACCACTGAGCTAGTTGACCATGATCTTCGACAAATAATAGGAACCATTTAAATGATTTAAATAGAAAAAAGCTTTTTCCATGACGCGCGTTCTAAGGATGATAATGTACTGTCAACTGCATATCGTACTAATAATGAGACAAAAGCATACCAATTGTTCTGTATTATGTGCAATTGATAAGGACAGGTGATTGGAATAGATTTGAATAGATTCTCTACACCGTATTCTGTACAGTAGCTAGCAGCTTATTATCGTTCGATTCCACGTTCCACGGTGTTCCACCTCATTTCACCAGTTAGCAGCAGAGCATCAGCAGCTAAGCTACGGCAGCTACCTCTGTTTTAAAACGTCATTGTCATTTCAGCGGTTCAGCCATACAATCCGATTCGACTGAATGCTTGTTCGCGAATGTAATCTTCTGTGAATAGGCGCTCATCAATCGTTGACCGAAGGTGATGATAAGAGAGCATCCGCAATAATGGCATCGGCATTGGAGCAGTTTGTAAATAACGTTCGAACGCTTTCGAAGCAAGGTATGACCGACTTCTGGTTATGTATTGTGAAAGCGTGGAACTTAACCTCAAAATGCAAAAGCAGAAAGCGAAACAAACCTTAAAAGCATTCCCAACGTAGAGAACTTCTTTTGAAAAAAATGCTTGGATTTTTTAAATTCGCTTCGTGTATTTAATAATAATAATAATAATATAGCTAGATAACATTTAGACAAACGAATTTTTATTTCGTTACCACTGTATAACCTACTTGCATATACAGGCAATTTTAGAGAATTATATGACATCATAAGCAAAAGCGTCGAAGTATTAACGAAGAATGGACAACACTTGGACAACGTTTTGGAAACATTAGATCTGCAACAACATTCGTTAGGTATCTTGGCAGTGCTCTGCGCAAAATTTTCATTGCCTAATCCTAACGGCGGAAATAACCCCGATGCACATAAACTCTTGTTCAATCAGGTTCAAGAGTTTATTATTGGCTGTAATGGAGAGCAAGTTAGATTTGCACCAGATACATGTGAGTATATAAAGTCTTTTGTTATGATTTCGTTGACAGTATCATTGAAGCATTATTATCCCGTATATATAACAAGTTTGATTTAACTTAGAAATTGTTTGTCAATTTACACTTGTTCCTTCCAATTTAGCCCATTAATTTTTCCATCTGTTAAAAAAGCAAGTATCTTCTTTAAAATCTTTTCGAAAGTTATTTTTGTATTAACAAATTTTATTCAAAGAAATATTTAAAATTGAGTTATACATAAATTTGTATAATTTAATTTTGAAAATTTTGTAAAAAAATTATACGTGCATTTCGTAATTTACAAATTCTAATTTAAATCCAAAATTGGCAAAAACGAGTATCTGCTATATTTATTTACAACATTGCACGTTTGATATTAAATGTTTACATCATATATAATAAATACATACATTTATTTTATCAAAAAATTTTTAGTTGATTTTGAATTCTCCAAATATATTAATGATATTCGTTTAGTTTATTGTCCAATTATATTTATTCTTTATCTCATTATATGCAACATTAATAACTCTTATAGATGCAGACTTATGTCACCTGTTTACACAGAATTTAGTCGAGTCAAAAATGCCATTACGTGGAATCCAATTGTTGTGCCGTGCAATACGCAAGATACAACTTTTTGACAGTCAGCTGACCTCAATACATGCGGACCTTTGTCAATTATGTCTTCTGTCCAAATGTTTTAAACCAGCACTCGAATTTCTCGACATAGATGTCACAGGCATTAGCCAGGAAGGAGGCCAATTTGATTCAAAATATTTCCTATTGTACTATTATTATGGTGGCATGATATATACAGCATTAAAGAATTACGATCGGGCATTGTATTTTTTTGAAGTATGTGTGACGACGCCTGCGATGGCAGTTAGCTACATCATGCTGGAGGCCTACAAAAAGTACATTTTGATCTCGCTGATATTACATGGGAAAGTATTAAATTTACCGAGATATACGAGCCAGGTGATCAACAGATACATTAAACCATTAAGCCAACAATATCAAGAATTGGCTACAGCTTACCTAGTTAATAGTTGTGAAGAAGTACAGAGCATTATTACTAAGTATCAGCAAGTATTTGTGAGGGATCATAACCTGGGACTTGTAAAACAAGTGCTTGCTTTCTTGTATAAGAAAAACATACAGAGGCTGACCAAGACTTTCCTAACGCTTAGTTTAAGTGATGTTGCGAGCAGAGTTCAATTATCGGGTCCCGTTGAAGCGGAAAAATATATTTTAAATATGGTAAGTTTCTATTGTATGTCATCGCATATGCCATAAATAAATAAAAAAAAATATCTGAAAATCAATAATTTTTCAGTCATAAATTCTCTTTAATAAATTTAGTATTTTTCTCTCTAATATAAATATATTCTCTCCTTTTCTCGTAAAAGAAAAAAAAACTTAAACTAAAGCGAATGATAACGTTGATAAAATTTTATGTTTTACTTTTTTAGTCATTTTCTTTCAGTCATAAATAAAGATTCGTTTTTAAACTTAGCTAATACCGTAGAGCATTACACACAATGTCTGTAAAATACAAATTGATATTGTTCATTAGCGAGTTGTATTTTTTAGATTGAAGATGGCGAAATTTTTGCGACTATTAATCAAAAAGATGGTATGGTAGTATTTCACGACGACCCTGAAAAATATAATTCACCACAAATGCTTGCAAATTTTGAGAAGGAAATGGCAGCATGCACAGAATTAGACAAACGAGTACTAGAGATGGAAGAGGAAGTTGTCCTTACCCCGCAATATGTTCGCAAAGCTTGCGGACAAAATGATCAGGATGATCAAGCAGCTGGACCTGCACCGACAAATGTCACAAATGCGCAAGGTCAAATTAAACAAAACACCTACTCTATGTAACATATACATGTCGTTGTGTGTTATATTTATTAAAAAATAATAAGAAATCACGAAAAATCTTGTTGAGAGTCAAGACTTTAATATCTGAAAGCTTGTTTTTTGAACGATGATAGTAATTAGAAAAATATTTTTGCGACCTGAGTGTCGCCTATTTTGTAAACAATTTATGAATACGAGTTCGTTTATATATAGGTTTTACATATAAGTTGAATTATAAGTTATAATGATGTATGTACATATACGTTACAGAGATATTATTTTATTATTATTATTTTACAATATACAAATTAATGTGAAAATACTCTACTACCAATATTCTATTAATTATGCACAATTACATACAACTTATATCTTTACGAAATCGCA